ATTGGGCAGGCTGGTAGTGGGGTTTGACTGGGAGTGGGGAGGAGGAGACCCATCAGGCATCAGTGCCTGTCTTGAGGTCCTGGGAGAGGGGAATTCCACCCTCAGAACTCACCAGGGGGAAGGGGAGGGAGGGGGTTTGCGACGCTGAGAGAGAAAGGAGATAGATACACACAAACCCGTTACAATGGTTCGCAATGGTGGAGGAAGTGGTTTGAAGGAAGTGTCTCAGTCCATATAGAGTCTCATCATGGGGGTCCTCTTTGGGTGGAGCAGGGTTATCCATGGTTGAATCCTCTCGAAGTGAAAGTCCATCTGGCGCAGAGTGGGGGTGGTTCAGGCGGTCCCCTCCGGGTCTGGTCTGGCGGTGGCTCATCTGGTGGGGTCAGAGTACTGGCGGTGGCCCGTGATGTGTTCCACGTAGATGTTGCACGACCAACGGGTGGTGTCAGACACCATGAGACAGTGCATCAGCTTGGCGTAGCAGCAGGAGACGCAGCAGGCACACAGGATGCTCTCGTTGCTGGGCTCCCATGCTCCAAGCATTCCCACAATGAGTGTGTCGACCATCACGTCATAGCCATGATCCCTCAGGGTGTCAGCCAGCGGGGCGTACTTCTCCCGCTTGCGAGCCCAGGCATTGGTGAAGGCTTGGCGACGGTTCTCGAAGGGGATGGTGACATCCATGATCACGACCTTCTTGACCTCTTAGTTGGTGATGACTATGTCGGGTCACACCTGGCTCTCGCAGCCCGGGATGATGCAGTTCACGGAGATCTCCCCCGCCGCAGCTGGGATGGCCCTCACCAGGCGGTCCTGGACAGCGTTGTGGCGGAGCTGCCAGGCTCAGTTTGCAGCTGCACAGCACATGGGGGAGGGTCTCTGCTGCGTAGGCGCACCGGCATCACCTCTTGTCCCGGTGGCCGAAGCGCACGGCCCTGTTCAGAGGCAGGCAGTTGAGGCAAGCGTGGTGGAGGAAGTGCCAGTCCGTGAAGCGTGTGATGCTCCCACTGCATGAAGTGGTTGCTAGCGTCCCACTTCGAGGTGACATCGAAGACCTTGCCCTGGTTGGGTTTGGCCCTCAGGTCGCCGGCATACTTGTTTCGGACAGCGTCTTTCAGGAACCTCTCCAGGAAGGTCCTCATGCGGGGCCTCACAGTGATGTGGTTGGCATGCAGGGCTGGTTGCAGGGAGACTCCCAGCTTCCAGCACTTCTCAGTCCAGGTCCAGGTGCAGCCGATGCATTTCCCGAGGTGGCGCATGGCGTTGCAGGCTCAGCTGCACAGCGAGGCAGAGTCCCTGCTGTCTCGGCTGAACTCACCCTCCAGCGAGGCACTGAGGAAGGTGGCCAAGTCTTGTCTGGTTGGCTGCCTCGCGATCCTCTTGTGGGCGATCTCCTCGAGGGCGCTGGTGGCAATGATACTTACCGTTGCATTCGGGCAGGTCAGGAGGCGGAAGGCATGGGTGACCACCATGATGTCGCAGAGGTGTCCCATGCGGGGGACGTTGGTGCCTCCCTGCCAGTAGGGAATGTGCAAGACCTCATTGCTGGCCCTTAGCGGCAGGTGCAGCCACTTCTTTAGCAGCTGCCAGATGTTGGTGTCTGCCTTCTTGAGGGGAGGGTCTTGGAGACTGCTGAGCCTCTCAGGATGAACGTGACACGGGGGATGAGGAAGGTGTTCACCGCGTCTATCTTCTGCCAGGGGGTCAGCAGGGACAAGTCCAGCTTGTGGGCTTCCTGCACGATCCCGTTGATGGTCTCCTCCAGCATCTGCTTGGCCAGGTGGCCGGTGGGCGTCCCCAGGTGGCAGTAGACCTCACTGTTGTGCAGGTGCCTCATCGCCTGGTCCTGGATCGTGAGGGTGGAGTCCAGGACATCACTCTTCTGCCTGCTGTCAATGTGCAGGGAGGTGCACTTGGCTACTACACTTGATCTGAGCCTTCAAGAGGCTGAGAAGTAATTTATAGCTATGACTTTATAGCCAATGTAATTTTAATGATTGCTTTGAAACTACAACTTTCTAAAGGATCAATATTCTCATGGCTGTGTTGCAATGGATTCCCAAGAGTAGAAGTATAGGTTCAAATATAGAAGAGTAAATTCTGGTACTGCTTGTACTTTAAGTCATTAACAAGCTTTTGGTTTCTCTTCAGTAATATGATCTCACCAGATCTTCTGATAATCTAGAGTAATATTATAAATGCTTCCTCCCACCTCCAGTTCACATCTGTCTGAAAAATTAGGATGGGAATTTCTTACTTATGAAACCATCAGAGGCACGTCTTCCATTTCTGCTCACATGAAAAAAAACACTTAGAAGTTGTTTTGGTAATAAATCTGGTCATAGAAATATGTGGTCTTTTCATTATTGGAATACTAAGTATTAACATCTCACCTTGTATTCTTCTAGAAATTAGAAGTACAGGTTGAAATTCTGGTTCCATGGATGTCAATGGCAAAATTCTCATTAGCTAGATCTTTATCCCCAGTTGGTATCAAAGGTAGATGTGTCAATGGTTTTGTTTGAAGCACAAATGTTCAGTGTAAGTAGCAGGGAAATTTTATATTCATGTCCAGTACTTTTTATGTTTTTTTTCTATTTTTGTTTGCCGGGTGTTTGTTGATAATTGGCTTTCTCTGTTTTCAGTGAGCATTTTATAGGTCATAATTCCTTCTCCATGGAAAAAAAATTGCATGTCCACTGACATGCTAAACTAAATACATCATGACAATAACTAGGAACAAGTTCTTTCCTTACGTAAGAGCTCTATCACTCTGTCTAAATCTATTTTTTCATACTTGAACTTTTATGTTCTGAAGAGGATTCCATTCTGTAACTTCATAAATGTATTTGTTCAGTACTCTCTGAAAATAACGGAATTATCTTATATTTTGAAGTGCCTAGGTATCTCATCTGGTCCCACATGATGAACATTAGGAATAACCACAGAAACCAAATGTTGTGAGAACCTTTGCAAAAATTCACATCTCTGTAAATTCTAACATCATAATACTTTGTTAAGCTGTATCTATCTGCTGTGCTTAATATGCATGATTTGGGTTAGCTTCTCAGTGATTAACATTACAGCTAGGGACAGACATTCAAAAAGCCTGAGCCTGAATTGATTCAATCTTTGCAGGTTAGTCTAACCTGGCTAGGCTGAACCAGTTGGAAACTGGACAAACATTCTCTCTGGACTGAGGAAATTTACGCATATGCCTGCAATGGCTCAGGCTATAAGCTGGGCGGGTCAGGGGGTGGGGACACTAGAGCAGCCCTCTCTTCCCTCCTGCAGGGAGCTGCAGGGGGGTGTGGCCTAGGCCCTGGCAGGACTCTCTCATTAGATCTGCCTGTGTGGTCCCAGGCTTTTCCCCACTGGCTGCTCAAGAAGTGGGAGTGTTGTCAGCCTGCCACTGTGGGATAGCACTCTGAGGCAAGGGGGTTGCAATGCATGCATTTGTTGGTGATACGGAGCTTTTCAATCTCCCTCCATGCTCTGTCATACTGTCTGAAGCAAACTGACAGGCAGGCAAGTCAGCTGGAGGCTGATAAGAGTCTTTATCACCTGATTAGCAAAACAATGGCCTCTTTCAAATTTCTGGCTGATCTGTTGATTAGCTCCAAAAACTCTGTTCTGTCTGCCTGCCTGTCCCAGTGAAATTGGAGAGAGACACACACAGACGCTTCCTAGCATTAGCTAGCATACCACATGCCTAGGGTCCCTGTGCTGTGAGAGATGGGAGGGAGGGAGGGAGAGAGGATTTCCTGCTTGAGGCGGGGTTGAGCATGAGGAAGCCAGCAGACCCTGCAAATCTCTGCCAGAGCTGCAATTCTCAGCCAGGGAGCAGAGGGGAGGGGCCAGCCCTGCTGTGGAGCAGAGAGGCCCACCCAGGCGTGAGAGCATCCTGGGTTGCTGGGGGACTCTGATTTAACTTAAACCAGGAAGGGGTCTGGAACAGATGTTGCATAAACCAGTTTGAGCCAAATCGGTTAAGTCTGATACTAAATTCAACCAGGTCTATCTCAAACTGGTTTCAGCTGTTTTGAAACTGGTTTATGTGCACTGAACATCTGTTCTGTTACAGGTTGAAAGCAGTTTCTGATTGCTTAAACCGGTTTATGTGTAACGTCTATCCCTAGCCCAAGGGAACAAAAGTATGTTTCTGTAATAGTATATTTATGGGAAGGTCTTTTCATCTTTGGCCACCATGGGAATTTTTGGCAAATTTTAGATCTTTAAGATACTGAAAGCTGGAGTTAAAGTTGAAATATTGCTTTTCATGGAACTAATATCTTTACTATGCCAGTCTTCAGTATAGTTCTTGGTTATCCTGTGAATAATTCACAAAACCACCATTATTATAGGGAAAGAGTAAGTGTACTCTGATATGCTCTATAAAGACTATAATGCACTGCATCTTGATAAAGGAGCTGCTGTGTACAGTCCCAGCAATTGTCTTTGTTTCATAAAATGGAAGCCCTCAAGGTTCCATATGAAAACCCTGACATAATGGGTATATCCATCTTCAGTCTATATTATTGTTGCTCCTATTTTAGGAATTAGAAAGCCTTTTTTCTTTCTATGCTTTCATTGGCTGATTTTCCTGTTTGACAGTATTCTGCTTTCCTACAGGCATATTCTTCTGTCTGCAGCTGAATTCACGTTTTCTATTTTTATTACAGAAAGACAGCATTTCAAACATTTATTTCAGTACATTGTCTCTGACTGAGATGCCTAACCATATGCATAATATTCCCACTTAAAAATGGAAAATGTTGCTGTCTTTGGCATTTCACATAGATAAATTCAGCACTCAAGATTCCCTCCAGTAATTTCCACAATGTTCTGATGCATGAAACTCTGCTTAGATGTGCAGTATTTCTGTATTGCCTCACTTCACACGCCAGCCTGCCGTGACAGGGGGTTCATTAGAACAACTATAAATGTAGAGTGTGTGAGGCATGCTACAATTCATTTGCGAGCTCCTAAGTCTGCTACCAGGCCAGAACTAGAACCAGGACCCAAGACTCTCTTTCTTAGGACTACAGACTCATATTCCTCTTTACTCTTTCCCTGGCCCTGTGACACTTACACTCTTTTTTACATTCTGACTTAGCTTCAGCACAAGAGTGGAGAATTGCCCTACCCAATTTTGCCTTTAGTTTAGTGGTTAGGGTACTCCCCTAGGAAGTATGGGAAATTTGAATCCTATCACACTGAGGATGTCCCAGGTCCTAAGCAAATGCTCTAATCATTAGTGTGTTATATTAAAGGTTACTACTTATTTTAGTTGTGCTTTTGAATGAAGGTAGTCATGGCAGCTGTGTTTTGTGCTGAACTCAGTGCAAATTTTATATATTAAATATGGTCTGAGCACACACTGATTGGATTGAGCCTCTTCAGGTATAACAACAGCAAATGAGCTTGGGTAGGAAATAGGTCCTAAAATGTTCAGCTTAGTCTTTGAGCGTGTGAAGAAGCAAAACATTAGGTGCTTATGTAACCACACTGGTAAAAACTTTTTTAAGTGCTCAGTTTAGGTTGTGCCTAAATTCTGCCTGAGTCACTTGTAAGGAGCCAAAGCCTTGTGAGGGATGTTACATTTCAGATGCTACAGTTAATTGCATCTTAAATACTAATCCAGCCACGCATTCAGGCAATTAATTATTCCAAAATATGTGGAATAATTTTGTGGCTAGTTTCAATCATGCCTTAAATTGAATGTGTCATTGTCCCCACCATGAAGCCTGATGCTGGTCCTGGGACAGGGACCCACAATAGCTGATTATCTGTCTCAGCCTTGCGACTGCCCCAGTTTACCAGGCACTCACTTGCTTTCTACTTGCTAGGTAGATCATGGTCCTGGGCTCCCCCTGCACTGGCAAATGGTAATAGTGCAGTTATGATCTCATCCCCAAACCCCAAATTGCGTGTCCTGCCATGTATGTATGGCATGGCTGGAGGATTGATTGTTGGGATCAGGAAACAGATCCTGTTGCACCATTAAGTGAATGTGTGGCAGGGGCATAAGTCCCACTTTGTATCTGGTCAAATGATTCAAAAGAACTACGAGTTAACCCCATCAGCCTCCCCTGCCCATTGATCTCCAGAAGCCCATCTCTGAGGTTTAAGATGGAGGTGATAATATTATGTCCCAGAAAATTCCCAGGATCATTCTCAAGAGATTTAGTAATGTTCATATAGTATCTTGTTGTGACCCTTTCTTTTGGGCCTGGGGAAGATGAGGATTCCTGGTCCAGGGCAGCATTCACTCTCAGTGATCTGACCCACTGAGATTGTTTCATTTCTCTTGTGTGTCCAGGAGAGCCAGGACTTATAAGCTGCCCCCTTCATATGTGACCCAGTTATTTCTACTGGCATGCATAAATGAGAGGAGATCTCAGCATCAGAGTTGCAGTTTTCTAAACTTTAGCTTTCATTTGCTGTTTGATTTGGGGCAATGAGTTAGCTGGCAAAGAAAATACGTGACAAAATTTGCTGTAGCATGAGCTGCTGACTGAGATCCAGTTTTTCCAAAGTTGCAAGGAAAATGACCTTGCAATCTATTCTGAGAAGCATTTTCTTGGTAAATTTGATATTTGCTTGAGTGATCTCAGTTGGTGTCAAAAAAATAAAACCTCATAAGAACAGTAAAAAAAACAAACAAACCCAGAAAAGTATTTATTGAGTTTTAAATGGAAGCCACAAACTTTTAATACTGTGGCAATGGGCTTTATGTAAAATATTTTGTATTTTCAAGCTCTTCACCAAATTGCTGCATTATTTCCAATAGGTTTTTTTTTATGAGTAGTGCCTAGGTGTCATAAGGTGGTAAAATCCAGAACATTGGTATTCTTCTGCTTGACTTGAGCTAGACTGTGGATGTGGTGCCCTCTGCTGAACAACAAGTATCTTGAGTTCATGAAAATGTTATTTCAGCTGAAGTCTTCTTAAAAACCCGCGAT